AATTGTTTGTGTTTTTCAATGGATATTTCAAATCATTTGTTAGGGGACTTGGTGCTATCCAATTTTCTGTCTGTAATAACATTTATGATCAACAAATCGGACACTTTGTGGTGGTCCAAGTATATTATTATCTCACACGATAATTGCAAACAAGTTTAGATTCCACATTATCCTAATAGAGAAACAAAAACATACAGCTTCTCACAAAGTTAAAAATAACTTTCCCCCTACTCACGGCTATTCAGCTGCTCTTGTAATGCAGTCACTCTCTGTATAATGTAAAACAGAAGAAAAACACAGGTCAAATTAAAACCAATCAATAAAATGTAGTTACCACAAAAACTAAAATTCTAGAGCAGAGTATTAATTTTGAGTTCATATTTTTCATCTTATTTGCCCAGCACACGAACATGAACATGCAATTAGTGACTCACATTTGAAAACATATCCCTCTCCTCCCTCATGCTGTTCATATCCTGCACAAAAGTCCTTTTTAATTCAGCTATTTCACGCTGCAATAGAACAATGCTTTAGTAGTTATAACTATTATCACAAAGTATCACTGTAATTAGCACAACTATTGTGACGTAAGTAGTGTCTCTTTTGTAACTCTGTATTTTTTTTCTAATTTTGTTTTTTCTTTTGTAATTAAATAAATTCAAAAATGTATATATAACTGTTATCATTAGTTACTGACCAAGTACCTCCACCATTCTTCTCTACACTCCCCTCCCCTCCCCTCCCACTCAGAACCATCCCCTCCCCATCCCCTCCCCCCCACTAAGAACCATCCCCTCCCCTGCCAAGACAGAAGAGATGATGTAGATGTTGTACAACATGTATGTGAAAAATAGTTTCCTTTCAGTAGGAAGATTACAGTTGAGATGAAAAATTAGTCCAATCAACCAGGAAAAAACAAACTGCATCAAATAAATTATTAAAAAATGTTGCCCCTTTGTAACTCAAGTGATAAAAATATAACCTCTCCTCACATTTTAAATAAGTCAACCAGCCAGCAGGTGATGAGAATTGAGAACTTTATCAACTAAAGGGTGTCATCAATTTGATCAAATTCTCAAAAGAAAATTAACCAGGAAATGTAAAGTAACTGGAGGGGAAAGTTGTAAATAAAATCTCAGGAACTCAAGATTATAGGAAATATCAGACCTGTTGTTCAGCCTTCTCTCCAGCTTTCCATTGATCAAACATTGCTCTAAGTTCATCCATATTGTGATTTTCTGTTGTCAGTTTATCTCTCTGTTAAAAAAAAACAAACAACAAAAGCAAAGCAAATTTAACCTGGTGAATGCACTAATCACAATAATGCTGCAAGAAAACTCAGCTCAACAATTTCCATTTCAAGATTCAAGATCAACAAAAAACACAAAGCTCACTGACACAGCTTCACGGAAACAAAGCACAGGACACCCAGTTGCTGCAGCCTTTAACACCTACCTGTGACTGTGTTAATTTCTTTTCCTCTTGCAGTTCACGTTCTGTCTTTTGCAACCGTAATTTGATCATTTGCAATTCTTCCTCTAAATCATTTTTCTCCTTTTCAGTCATGCCAGGTTTTGTTTCCATGGTTACAGCACCAACAGATTTGACAGGTGGCACTGTCGAGATCACCATCCCATTGACTTGGCTTGTGTGTTCACCATGCCGTCTACTGAGGTGAGCTATGACATACTCATGGCTGACAAATGACTTAGCACAATATGGGCACTACAAAAAAAGCAATGACACATGTCAATTACTGATGACCCACTAATTATCCATGTCGCCCACCTATAAGAATAACAAAAATCACCCAAATGATTAGAAAGCCTTCATTAACTTTCACAGTAAAGTGGAAGAAAACCTATAGAGGGATACAAGACATGGCAAGTTTTGTATAAGGGAAATTTCATCAAAGCTTCATCTTCTTTTTCTGTACCTTGTGAGAACCACTTGCTCCAGCCCTGATCAGAAGTTGGTATTCTGCAATCCACTGCTTTTGTTTCTGACATTCTTTCTTGAGCTTTTTATAAGCTTCTTTCTTCTCATCTAGTTCTTTCTTTACTCTTTCTGTTGTCTATATTGGAAAAAAAATGCTCAAAATTATCACAGAATGCTCTCTTGAAAATTAGCATCTTACAATGGTTTGATTTCACCCTTTCACTGCCAAGATCCAAAAATCAATTCTCAATACTCTCTGTCATAAAATTCATCTTATTTTAGTTCTGAGAATTTGGTGTTAATTAAAATGAAACAAAATGCTTTAGTTAATAGTTTTCTTTTTTTCTTTTTGAAAATATATTGATGTCATTAGGGGGGGTATTGTTACTGTTCTCTGTTAATTTCTGATACTGACAAGGAGAGTTTGATTGACAGTTAACAGCTTTTTCAGTTGGTGATCATTTCCTCTATTCTTGTGACTTAAATGTGTGATTCAGGGGTGATATTGTAAGGAGAAATTAGGTGTTAGTCACTCTAAGAGGTCAGAGGGTTAACCTATCCTTAAGTCATAATTTGAGTAAAAAAAAAATGAAATTTAGGGTGTTACAATAAAATTTTGACTCAAAGAATAAATCATTGGATAAAGGTATGAACATCTGTGTTTCCTGCTTATTGCAACGGCTGAACAAATAGAGCTATCTTGCTCAGAGCTTGATTAAAACATTCCAGATTAAACTAGCAACCAAGAACAAAATATGAATCCTGTATACTGTTTAAGTTAGCTAGTAGTTATGTAGTGTGAATTGAGTTCAATGTTACCAGCCTATAACAATGCACTTGTAAGAGCAATTAAGTTACCTCCAAAGATTCCTGGAGAGTCTTGTTCTCTGCTTCAAGATTTGCCGAAAGAAACTGCTGAGAGTGCTAACATGAAAATAAATTGGAAATTTAAGTCCAAGTTACCAATACAATGGAGGGAATCAAATGAAGCAACTGAATGCTAATAACAAGAAACTTAGTTTGTGATGTAACTCACCAAAAGGTACTCAATAATAAGCTGTGCCAGTCGAAACAACTTGATGTAATTTGGATCAAAACCAATAGCCTGCATTCCCTATGAGTATAAAGAGTGAAAAAAAACCCTATCAAATCAATTTTTGAGAAAAATTTTGTGCTTCTTGGACGAGTAAGGGAGCTAGATGGGGAAATATTTAGTACAATACATAGACAAAACAGTCAACTCAAGCAAACACCAATGGTCATGGCCATTTTGCCACCTAAACATACATTAAACTGACTCCATATTCTCTAGAGTCCTAAAGAAATTTAAATTAGGTTGCATTATGAATTTTCTGCTACTGAATACACTCACCAGCTCTGCCTCAATGTTGCTGAATGTGACATGCATTATGTTATCTTGTAATGTTTTCACATCCATCTCCCTCAGAATCCTATCAACATCCACAGATGCTGAAAAAAAAAATTTCAGGATTATCCACTAATAAGAATTCAGAACAATCTTTATGCTACAAAAACACTTTACAGTGTACAGCTTACACTAAAACAATTGGGTCAGAGGACAATTCTACCTGTTCAGACTATAATATAAGTCTACACATTGTAAAAATATATTGAAATCATACCAGGTTACCGGTACGTTACAAAATTAGTTTAGTCAAAATTCACCTTTTTGCGCCATGTTTGTAATGACAACAATATTTTAAATACCAAAATACACTCAACATTAACATATTCATCACAGCAAACACTTCATATATTAAGCTATCCACCAAACTATTGTAGTATTTGCATTTTTAACAAAAAATATCTAGACACTTTTCATTGTTTCTCACCAAGTCGCCTCCAGTCAATCTTTTCTTGTCGCCTTCCAAACGAAAAATTCATTCCTACAAATTGTAATATGTATTCGTAAAAAAGAAAAAAACAGCACTGGACGATATGCATAGGCCTGTGCGGCATTTCGCGAGTAGTCACTAGTGATTTATTTATGGAAATATTTACATAGCAGTAGCGGTAATTTTTAGCTATAGGAACACAGAGTACCAAATTAATTTAAGCTCGAGGAAAATTGTACCACAAACAACTACAAACTTTATGAATCTTCCTAAAGATCCTTTATCGATATAAATCTGCTATGGACTGTGAATAAATAAAACTTAATATTATAAGGAAAACGAGCATACCACTCATGATCAAGAAAAAGCAATTAGCTTAACGACTTCCTTCAGACATTTTGAAGAGTAATTAGCCGACTGTATTACTGTATAACTGAAGTTTGTATCTATGTACGTGTCTAGGATGCCAATTTACATGTATCAGTGCTTTTTGACTTAATATTCTAAAACTACTCAAGTTCAACATCGATTACGTTTAACATACCTTCCGCCATATTTCACGGCAATCACAGAAGATCTTGGTCAGATAGCGTCAAATTCTAGCCATGAAGCATAACGCACGAAATTTTTTGACCATAATATTGACTGATCATCAAACAACCAAACATAGGTTGGCATATTTTCAAATTCCCCGCGAGGCAACCGTGAAAAAGTTAATAACAAACACAAGTTTAGATCGACAGCGAAATAAATACATACGATCACATTCCCCACTAATATATGCTCAATCACGGTTAATTTCAGATAAATTAATATCTCTCCCAGAGACGTTTTCTCATAGGAAGAATGCAAAGGTTAATTGCAAACAGCTTAGCGTGAAAAGACGCCAAACTTTCTCCTCAGACCTCCTCGGTTTTACACTCCAGAGAACAAATTTCTTTCCGGGCGGGGGTCGGGAAAGGTTGCCATACTTAACAACACTTAATTTGTGACGTTAAAAATTCTAAATACCCCCTAGAACACTTTGAAACTTTTCAAAAGGGTTATTAAAGGCTAAAGTACAGGTTAGTCGTTTTACCTATTACTAAGTTGTTCATTTTCTGGGGAAAATTTTGACCATAGATAAAGGAACGTGAGGACAATTCCGACTTTACGAGACCCCAGTGGAACAAGTTTCCCGCGCTCGACTGATCATTCGGTGGACAGTTCAAGATGGCGACTAGAATGAAAGTGACCTCCAGTGTCATAGAACAGTTTGTCAATGTTACAGGAGCCTCTAAAGAGATTGCAAGATCAATGCTGGAAGCTTGTAATGGAAACTTGGAAATGGCGATCGAAATGCACTTAGATTCGTGCGAGGTTCCCGAATCAGGAGTCTCGGGTGCTAGTTCTTCCGCGACCAGATTAAATTTTGCAGCTGGGTCTTCCAGTAATTCTCATCAGTAAGTTGTGATTTGAAATATTTTTATCAAATATTGTCTCCGATGCCTTAACTTTACGTACCATAGCAGTTTCTAGTGAGAATTCATCAAGACATTATCTGGAACTTAAAAAAATTATCCCACGGTCAAATCGACTTTTAGAATTGATGTCTTACAAGCTTAGCAGCCTCACAGATTATGGATTACTCAGTAAAATGAAAATTTCCCAATAATCTCAATTCTTTTTGCTAAGTTTTGTTCTGAATACAACGACACATTGGTGTTACTAAATTACTTGGTTGGAGTAGTGCGTTCAGTCATTTTGCTTTAAAACGATCGATCACGAGAGGTCTTATTATTAAATTTCATGTCATTAAACACCTATCTGTGACAAAATATTTTGTTTGCACCAATAAATTAGTTTTTTGATGTGCTTCAAAACATGTGGACCAGTTTTTGTCATGAAATTAGAATTACAATCAATAAGTGCTTGATTATTATAAATGTCCTTTTTAAAACTCAAGATATTTAGATTTGTTCTATATTTTTTACTATGATTAACATTGTTATTATTATTATTATTATTATTATTATTTTATCAGAAATGTTGATGATGTACGGGCTCCTATTCCTCAGACCCATGGTATTTTAGTGGAACCATTTCAAGGTATGACTTTTTTAACCCTAACCCAAGAGTATAGCAAAATTTATTTATTTATCTGATTTAATGAGTCATTAATTTATTTTTCTTTCCAAATTTTTTTTCAGCATATCCAACCAGAAAACGACAAGCTAAATCAGTGTTTGATGCATTCCGAGATTTTCAAGCTGAAGCAAGTAAGCAGTTAGAGAGAACAAATGTTTGGTTTTTATTTTTCACCTTCTCTACCAAACCCCAACAGACTTTTCCTTGATGTTCTTTTGTAATAGTACAAATACTGGATTAGTGTTTTCATTTATTTTTTATAGCTTAAATAAATACTGGATTAATATTTATATCTATTTGTACAAACTCTATTATTGGATTTACATTGTCTTATAGGACAACAAGAAAGTGCTAGCACTTCCTCTGTTATGACAGGAAAGAAGAAAACCCTACATGATTTATTCCGCCCACCAATTGATCTCCTACACAAAGGAACATTTGAGACTGTAAGTTTATTTGTTCTAATATTTTCAGGTTAGCCCAGCATTTTCCCATTTTTTTTTTCATTTTTCTTTATATCAAAGAACTTGTCTTTAGTACAGACATATTCTGTGCAAGTTGAATAATTGTCCTGATCCAAAACCTGCCACAAGATCCTCAGCTGTAAATTAGACTCAGGGTTTTGGTGATTTCATATATTTTCAGTTTTACGTGAACCCTTCACCACTCCTAAGATCCCATGAGTAATTCTCCTTACTCTCTACCATACAATTCTTATAATGTTAGTTGGGAGAATTTGGTATTGGATCAACTCATAATCCCCTAATTTATATTTTTCTTTATTCTCATCACTTATCTGTTTGATATTGTAATGACATTGTGAGGAGAAATTCTATCTTGGTCACTCATGGGAGTTTAAGGGTTGAAAAAACCCTGGTTTTATCAACCATTGCCATAATAATGAAAATGAATCATTTTCAAAGGAAAAATGAAAGATGTTGATATCATTTCTCCTTTTCTCATTTCTTCTTAGTTGTGCTCATTTCTTGTTGTTATATAAATGATAGGCTAAAGTTGATGGCCAGCATCATAGTAAGTGGTTGTTAGTGAATGTCCAGGATGTGCGAGAATTTTCATGTCAGCAGTTAAACAGGGACGTGTGGAGTAATGAGGCAGTGAGAAATATTATCAAGGAGCGCTTTGTTCTTTGGCAGGTAACATAATCTCAGTTATATTTACCTATTTTTTATCTATAAGTGAATTCTCTTAAATGTTGGCCATTCATTTTGGTCTACCTCTTTTGCAATAAATATGTAATGGACAGCTGTTCTTTACAGGGAGACATCCTCAGTTGCCCAAATTTTAAAGGAAAAATGTATCAAGGAGTTTTAAATCAGTATTCTTTGATATTTAAACTATGTTAAGTAATTGATTTGGTGAAAAAAAAAATGCACTAATCAATAAAATCTATTCTTTCCTTAGGTGTACAGAGACAGTAATCTTTTAAATCAGTATTCTTTGATATTTAAACTATGTTAAGTAATTGATTTGGTGAAAAAAAAAATGCACTAATCAATAAAATCTATTCTTTCCTTAGGTGTACAGAGACAGTAATGAGGGAGATCGCTTTATCCAGTTCTATCATGTGACAAAATATCCCTTTTTAGCTGTTCTTGATCCTAGGACAGGTTAGCTTTACTTTGGTTTGTGATAACTTGTACTTATCATTCATTCTTGACGTACTATTTTAAAAAACAAGTGCGAGGGTTTCATCAGGGTTTCCAAACATGAGGAAACCAAGGGAAGCACAAGGCTGCAGGCCAAGTGCTTTCATTGTTTTCAAGTGTTTGGAAACTCTGATGAAACCCTCACACTGGTTTTTGAAATAGCTCCTCAATCACGCCTCAGGAATACAAGAAAATGGAAATATTCATGAATTTTTCACATGTTGTCAGCGAAAAATTGTATTGTTATGGTGATTTGCATTTTTAGAAAGGGTGCGAACCATGTTATCATGTTTTGGGCAATTTAAGTAAGTGAGTGAACGCGATGGTGTCTTCTTAGAAAATGTCTCGTGAGAGAGAGTGTTAGTAAAGGTTGTTTGTTCATGTTGGTGTCTCTGTTTTAAGTATTCAAATATGTGTTATAAATATTCAAATTAAGAAATGAGTTCACTAGAGTTTGATGCTTTATCAAACTCAAGGGTTTGTTTTTATACGAAATTCATGGACAGTTCATCATTCCAGTGTTTCACCATGGTTTCAAACCACATGAGCGTGACAAAATTTGGCGTGTCTTGGTTGGATAATCACCTTATCAATAATTAAAGAGTTTAAGAAAAAGATTTTAAAGTTTACTTTCTAATTCAACCAATCCTTTCTAGGGGAGAAACTGGTAGAATGGGGTTACATGGATGCTCAGGCATTTTGTGAATGTGGTATGTGTTTCTAAAGTTTAAATAATTACTCAATTTCTTGGAAGGAACTCTTCTTATACTTTTTCTATACTTTTTTTCAACCATTTTTTATCTCTCCACTAATTTTTCATCAATTATATCCTCTAGCGGCAGAATTTCTTTTACAACATCCTTCTCTTGAAGGAGACACTCCACCAGCCAAGAAAAGAAGAAGTGTAAGTGACTTTGGTGTTATTCAAAGATATTTGCTTGATGAAGTTTTTTTTATCAGTTTAATTACATGCTAATCCATATTCTGTTTTTTATTGTTGTTTTTTTCTGTGTTTGTTTGTGTTTTTTTTTTTGTCTCTTTGAGATAATGAATGAATGCTTAGCATTTAGCGAACTGGTAAAGCCTTGGTTAGGTTGGTGTGTTGTGTTCTTACCCTCAGAGTGTCTCTCTCCATCCAGGAGTAAGGATGGGTATAAGGAAAACTCTTAATGAAACTCGATATATCAGTGGAGAATTTCTGACAATGGACTAACATTACATTCAGATAAAAGATTAAGTCAGCCCTTGAGCAACACTGTCAGAGCTTGTCCTAGTCTCCCTTATGTGAAGTAACTAGTAGAAATGCTACTCTCCACAGTCCTTTGCAGCTTTCCCCACCTCCAACACTTCACCAGACTTCCCTCACTTTTCACTGGCACACTGATCATGAGACCACCATTTAGAAAAAGCAATTCTCCTGGTAACTTCATGCTAAAGAAACTGAGTTAGGTTCCAACAGGGTGGGCCACGTGGTTCATAGGACTTAACCAAGCCTTTAACCTTCTGTCTATTTTTTGTAATTTTTTGTGTGTATCTTTAGGAATCAATCGTAGATGCCTCTGAAGATTCGCAGCTTCGTGCTGCCATAGCAGCATCATTACAGTGCACCAAATTTGAAACCAAAAATGACGAGAACAGCGAGGATGATGACGAAGACTTTGAGGATTTAGAATTTAGTGGTTCAGATTCTGACGAGGAACACAAAACACCAGCAAAGAATGTAAACAATTCAAGTACTGTTGATAAAAAAGATGTGAAAAGAGGAATAAACTTTGATGAGCCTTCCAATAATGGCGAAGGAACTTCTATCAAAGGGAAGGAATCGCCGGAAAGTGAACTCTTGAAAAGTAATGACTCAGTAAAGAGGAAAAATAGCACAGGAGTTGAAGAAAGTGCGCAAAATAATTTGGAGAAAACAGAGGAAGTTAGGGAAACTGAATCTGAAGCTAAGGAAACAGACAACACTTCAAACCTGAGAACACAAGAGCAGGCTGGTAAGAGGCACTGATAGAGAACTGAAATCTCCTTACAAATGTTCTTACGTTTTTTCCCTATTGGTGTTGAGAATTTAGTGGTCAGTCAACACAGCAAAATTAATTGTAGTCATCAACACGTTTACTTAATTAATTATCCATTAACTCAGACTTGACGAATTCTTAACGAAAAGAAATTGCAGATATTTATGCGTAGGAAAAAAGATTTTTCAGTTTTGACGTAAAGATTCGACAACAACGCGTCCTGATTGGGTTCCGAAAGGGAATTCATGGAAGAAGCGTAAATGGCAGATGCATGTTTAATGTTAACGTATATTACAATTTCGACAGTTGCGCGTTTTAAGAATATCTTCGCGTCCTGATCACGCACTGATTACGTTCAGAAAGGATCTCATATAAGGAATGGAAATGGCAGATG